TGGATGCCATCCCCTCCCTCCAGCGCATCAGCCACTCCGCACAGCTTGGTGTCTCAGCAGACTTGCTCCCTGCAGGACAAACCTTTGTCTCTCCTTGCTCCCCGCAGGACGGCCGTACCGTGGAAAACCCAGTGACATGTGGGCGTTGGGCGTGGTGCTCTTCACCATGCTCTATGGCCAGTTCCCCTTCTACGACAGCATACCTCAGGAGCTTTTCCGCAAAATCAAGGCTGCAGAGTACACCATCCCCGAGTGAGTACAGCCTGTGCTGGGCAGGCCCTTCTCTTAGTGTGGGCAGTGCTCAGGGCTTGCCGGGAACCATCGGAGCTGGAGGGGCTTCACTCCAAGCCCCTGAGGGTCGCAGGAGTAATGAGAGCAAAGACTCTGTGCAGTAGGCACCAAGGAAGCGGTAGCAGAGCTGGGACATCTCCTGCAAAGGTGAAAAAGGCCCCCCCATGCTGCAAGGACAGGGAACTGGCCTCCTGGATAACTCTGGGTTCTCTCGGAGCGGTGCTGGCTCCTCTAGTTCCTGACCGGTGCTCCCAGCGCGTCCCTTCTGTTGCCACTGCCTGTCTCGGGTTCACCGTACGTTCTCTCTCCCAGGGATGGACGGGTCTCGGAAAACACTGTGTGCTTGATCCGAAAACTGCTGGTCTTGGATCCACAGCAGCGTCTGACAGCGTCGGAAGTGCTGGATTCTCTCAGCTCCATCATAGCATCGTGGTACGTGCGAGGGGGGATAGGCAGGAACGTGGTGTCTCTGGCCACGGGCTGTTATTCCAGCTGCATCCCACAGACCGCTGCCAAGCGGGATGCCAGAGGAGGGTCTGGGATAAGGGCAGCATCCTTAATCCTGCCTCAGCCGTGGGTGTCCGCTGGGTACAGCCTGTCGCTGTACCAGGGCTGGAGTCTGACCAGCAACGCTCAGAGCAGCGCAGGGGGCCGGAGGGCCGATGCTCTGCCCCCTCGTGCGCCCCAGAGCTGATGTATCGGAGCTCTCACGGTCAGGGATGTGCTCACGGACGCTTCCCGCCAGCCTGTAGTTAGCGCTGCGTTACCAGCGAAGGTAAAGCAGGCTCGAGGTCCGAGGGAGAAAGAGCAGGAGGTGCCGTTACGGGTGGGAACACCCAGTGAGGGGTGAGAGGGGGGTAGATCTGACTCCAGGGCTGACGTGAACCAACTGGGGTGAGATTCCGGTAGCACTTGGGCAGACAAGGACCCCGGCGGTGTGTGCTCGGTGCAGCGCGCTCTCATCAGCCTGGTGACCTGCCTGCTCCACAGCAGCCCAGGCGCAGCCCTTGTTGAGTCAGCGGGCAAGTCTGTGATTTTTGGAGCTGGGGCTGTTTTCTCTCCTACCTTTGCAAGAGTTGGAGTTCCACATCCTGTTGTTTTAAAAAAAGGCAGCTTTGGGGTTTATAACGTGATTTCATAGCAGGGACGATGAATTTGGAGCAGTGTCCGTCAGCAGCCGGTGTGGCATCCAGGCCGTGCTGGTGTCCGGGTGGGTGGGAATGCCCTGGCCGGGGTGTTGGGTGAGGGTGGGCGAGCTGGGGCCGTGGTGACGCTGTGCTCTCCCCCCAGGCAGTCTATGTCCTCGCTGAGTGGCCCTTTGCAAGTGGTGCCAGACATCGATGACCAAGTGGCTAACCCTGAAAACCCCCAAGAGGTAGAATTTTTTTCCTACTTTCCTTTCCACGGACATGCTTTTCTGTGCCAGGACTGTCCGTAATGAAACGAGGTGGCAGCCCCCGAGCTGGGAGGGGAGGGCGGGGAGG